GGTGATTTCTATAAAACAACAGAAATAGTGACTCTTGCCCTAGCAAACACCAAACGACATATTGCAAGTATTGCTATAATATGAAGACACTTAATGATCAAAAATGCCTAACTTTTCAACCCACCTTGTATGATTTTGTATAGTTGCATAGTTTAATATAATTTTTAGTATAGTTTTAATATAATATAATATGATAAATAGGGTAAACGAACCTATTAAGCTCACCAAAATCTACATTGTAAAAAGTCTGGCTGTGCTTAATCAAGCAACAAGGCATCCAATTTTCCACTGATTTACAATCTGGAGAAGTTCACCGAGAAGTTCGCCAGTCTGCAGATTTGAGTCGACTGATTCCACAGAAAATCAATTAACTTAACTTAAAGTGACAAGCATCACTAACTGTAATTATTTCCCACATCCAAGTTCCAGGTTATAATCTGCAAAAGTCTAAACATTAAACTCTTAGTTTTACAATAAGTAGTGAAACTTTACCCAAAATAAAGGCTTAAATATCTTAAAAATGCACATTTAAGGTGCTCCTCTTTTGGTGAAAGTTTTCAGACAGCTTTCAAAATGGCCGCCAGACAGTGTGAACACATGGATACTAATATCTCAGTTGAAATTACAGGAGGTATGTAGTAACAAACACATCGGGAGGGGGGGGGGGGGGGGGGCAGATGAGATGAAGGGGAAAAATTATATTTCAATGCTTTTGCATTCACTCACAAAAACTTTTGCGCACCCCGTAAAAAGTTTGCATTCACAAAACTGGTGATGGAGGGAAAAACTCAATGCTATTTCAAGAACTATATTTCAATGCTTTAGCAAGCAAATGCAAAGTTTTTTCAGGGAAATGCAAAAGTTTTAGAAGAGAACACAAAATTTTTGCAAATGATAGCTACATTTATCAGGGGACATCAGCACTTTTGCAAAAGAATGCAAAACTTCTGCAAGCGCACAACGTTTCTTGGGGAAACGCAAAATTGTTGCGAGCCAATGCAAAGTTTCTCAGGGGAACGCAACATTTTTGCAAGTAAATGCAAAATCATATCCCTTTAGATTAGGGCTCCCTGTATTGTATTTCATTCTTATGCACAAAATTGAGCAATTTTGGTTAAGTTTAAAGTCAAGTCAAGTTAACAAAGTCATGGTATGTCATGTCAAAGCTATGTTTTGCTCTGTGTCTTATGATTCATTTAAGCCATATCGCGTGAGAAAGGGATTTTGTTGTTTTATAGCCCTGCTATTCAGACAACATTGGCATGCTTACGAGTATGACATTGCTTTTATACAAACGTTTAATAAACAAGAAGTTAATATTGAGAAACTTACATTTTACTTAATCTATTCTTGCCAACAAAAATAGTTCCAAACGAAGACAAAAAATTGACTCTCACAGTCACATCAGAGCATCACAGAGAAGCGGCGTTTCGTTCCTAAACGAATCCATGTTATGACAGTATCAGTTGAGTGAATAATTCAATGACTCATTCATAAAGAGTGTAATGATTTAATATGTAAAAAGCAGTGCTGGGTAGTTACTGACTGTTTATTGATTACGTGATTACATATTATTCACACAATAGCAATCAGTTATTCATATTTTATTGACTCTCACTAAATCTTCTTTTCCACTAAACTCACAAAACCCCAGTTTGGTAAACCTTGACATCATGTAAAGTTCAATGCACTCCATGTTGTTAATAATAACGAATTGAATATAATTTCTTTCACTTTGTATTTTTATAGCAATATGGTTCAAGATTGCCCTATTTAAATCAATGTGATGAACGTGTAAGGTCAAAAGTAATCTAAAAGTAATCCAAAAGTAGTCTGATTAAATTACCTGAAATGTGTAATGTAATGGATTATGTTACTGACTACAATTTTTGTCATGTAATTTGGAATCAGTAACAGATTACAATTTGCAAGCAATCTACCCAGCACTGGTAAAAAGTCACTGAAACATTCCCTCTAATGCACATACTGACCAACACACTTGCATGGCAATTAGTAACTAGCCTACTTTACGCTTTGGTGAACTGATGCCTAATTCGTATGAATTTGTACAAAATAATTTTCATACGATCTGCTTATGCACCACTGACAGTTAGGCTGGCTTTTTTCCTAAAAATCCTAAGTTTCCGTACAAATCACATTGCATGAATTCATATAAAATGCCACCCAACATTTACTCATGAGATTGGGTTGGACTGACAGTCTATGTGTAACGCGCAAACACAGTGAAAACTCAAAGGTCTGTATATCAGCACTCTCTAGGCCACTCAAGGAGCAGAACTAACTGCTGACCGACACTACACACGACACAGCAGACATAAACTCAGCATTTAACTCCTCATGTAGCTGATAAAAAAGTACGAACTGAGTGCTTATAACATGTAAAAGTGCACAGACGGAGGTGCAGCCTCTGTCTATGAGGATGGTCATGAAATATGCAGGAGAAAGCCATCACAGAACAAGAAGCCATTAGAGCCTCGTGGCTTTCTGAAATATTCATAAGACCAAACAGAACGCTCCTTCTTTTAGCTCAAAAGTTTATGAACACCTCACCGGAGAAAGAGACACAATGTATAAAAAAAGACTGGGATGCACATCACTCTTCCTGTCATCTCTTCCTTACACTTCACCTCTTCCACTTTGTTCCATAAGAACAGATACAGCAGAAAAGTACTCAAGAGATAGCCTGTTTTAAAGGTTTGTAGAAAGCATTTTAGCTGTTTTCACTGATGCAAGAGTAGCTGAACCCGAGGTAGAACCGTCACGAGAGGACAACTTCCTGACTTCACCATCATAGTGTAGTTTTCTCAGAATGAATGAGAGGAAATGGATGTTGCTTCCATTAGACACTGCATGTACATCAGTGCGAGCTAGACTACACATCCTCATCATCATCCGTTAGCATCAAACACTTAAGCCTGCATCAGAGCTGAACGACAATAACTACATTACGCCTGCCTCCTGGCCTTTATAGATTCAATTATATTTTATTAGCAAAACTACATGCAGATTTTCAGTGGATTGGATGTTTTTGTTGTTTCCAAGAATGTTCTGAAGGGAAGTGCATTGTCGAGAGTCTTTCCCAGAAATGTGTCTGCTCATTTATCTTGACTGGAACATAGAGAGCATGAGGGGATGAAATTCACTGGCTGCGTCTCAAAAACTAGTGAGCCACCTACTCAGACAGGATTTTTGGGCACCATTATGCAGTGCTTCCATTGGCTTTCCAAAAACTCACAGTGGCACAGTAGTGCCAAAAGCTTGGTGACTAAATGAGCAAATCATTACAACTGCATATTCAAGTCTCAGGTGCTAACCAACAACATGGGTCGTTTTTTTCCATGCCATAGTTGCCTTTGGTTTGCACCACTTGTAGTGTACTTCCAAATGTTAACGTATATTTGTAAAAAACTACTTGCAGATAATATTAACGAAACAAAGTGTACTTAAAGAGTGTGCATGTTCATGACAGTTTCTTAGCACACTTATGTACACTTTAAGACATGCACTTTTACTTCAAAGTACATTTTAAGTCATTATGTTTTAATAATCTTTTGTGGTGCTTTACAGAAGTACACTCATTTTAATGTGCTGACTAACATACTATACTGTAAGTGATTATAATCGTAACTGTAGTGAGTTATTTGATATTACATTTGAAGTTAATATATTTTAAATGTGCTAAACTGCAACTTCATCTTTACAAATGCGTCCTTCCAAAAATATTTGAATACATGCTTCGATAGTAATGATATTAAAGTAGATTTTAGTTTACTATAAATGCTTGTCAGTACATTCAGCAGTACACTTTAACCGTATTTCAATATACAATAGAAATAATTATGAATTACATATAAAGATGTACTAAAGTCCTACTGAAGTGAGTAAAAATTTTTTAACTAATTGCATTTAATATTAATTTAAACTATATATATATATATATATAAACATTTAATTGTAAAAAGCAAGCAATTAAGTGTCCGGAAATTACATATAAAGATGTACTAAAGTCCTACTGAAGTGAGTAAAAAAATTTAAACTAATTGCATTTAATATTAATTTAAACTATATATATATATATAAACATTTAATTGTAAAAAACAAGCAATTAAGTGTCCGGAAACAGTTAAAAACATCACTTAAGAAAATTACTTTAAATTATAGGCCTATTATCTCCATAGTACTCATATTAAAATTATCCTTCAAGTCACCTTTATTTGTACAATACTGTTTTTTCCTGAGTCAAACAGGAAAAAAGTTTGTCAATAATGCAGTGTACTTCAGTGTACTTCTGTTTCACACAGAGGTGTAAAGTATTGGAGTAAATGTAATTAGTTAGAACTGGTGACTTGTAACGTGTAGTGGAGTAATTTTCACTGTAAGGTATCTGTACTTTTACTCGAGTATGGTTTTTAGGTAGGCTACTCTTTACACCTCTGGTTTCACAAGGGCTAAAACATGTTGTTAAAAGTGCTAGATATAAATAAAAGTGACTTGACTTTACTGATGCAAACTGTTGTCCATCACAGACTTTTGTCCAGCAATCTCTCATCTCTTGGAAAAGGAAGAAGGTAAATCTACATCAGCGCACGAGACACATGGACGCCTTGCGTCATGCTCTCCGTTCCCAAAACCTCCACAAAACACTGCTAATGAAATTACACACAGTGACAGCAGGCTTTCAATAATCATATTTTGCGCAATTCTGCTATTTATAGACGAACCGCATTTTGTACATGAATCTTTCTCGAGTACAAAGAAAGTCAAGGGCGTAACTGTTTAACAGGCGATAATGAACCCTGACCGTCATCATCACTCCCGAGGCGCATTCTGCCGAAGCAAGCGCGAGGATACACCTTAAAGAGGCCAGTCAACGAGAAACTCTCCGTTTAACACCATGTATTGATAATACGCGTTATGCCAGTTAATCGCTGTGAAAGAAGAGCGTCGCACTGGCGCACACGCGCTCGCTCGCGCCTTACCTGGATGCTGCACGAGATTTCGGAGTCGTCGAGCAGCCGAACCGTGCACTGGACCTCCTGCGCGAGGGAGGAGACGCTCGGACTCCGGAATCGAAGCATTTTCATGGCTCTTGGTTCCGCATAGCAAAGCAAAAAAAGCGCCTTTGGTTTGGGAGAGGAGCACGGGGTGTCGGTTACGCGTCGCTTAAGCCGCCAGTGGAGAGGAGGAAAGAGAGATGTGGCGTTATATGACCGGGAGAATGATCCCCCTTTTTTCTTCTCTCTCCCTCTCTTCGTCCCGAACACACACGCGCTCGCCCCTGCCTCCCTCCATCAGTTCAATCGCATCAGCAGCTTCACCTGGAGCGAGCGACCACACCGTGCGTTGCCATAACAACGAGAGTTACAGTACGGTCTCCGGCTCAATTTAATAGCTACTACTAAGCCTACTATTTGTGCTACTGCAAAACCATACTAAATTCAAATGGAATCGCGCTTTTAAAGTATTTATTTGGTTGTTTGTTTGTTTCACTGTGACAATAAACTGTGAAGTGGTATGTTTAGTTTTGCTGTAAAATAGAGGAATGTTTAGTTGCTGCATATTAAATAACTAATAATGATAACCACGATCATAGAAAACCTACAATTTTAAGTGTGATTTTTTTAGACCTAAAATAACAAATACGAGATCTGAAAATGTCATGGACATTTCTATAGCCTATGAAATTGCATTATGAAAGGTTTTGTAAAAAAGAAAAAAAGTTTTTAAAATCCTTATCAATTAATCCTGAACCTTTCTGAATTTTAGCCAATGCCAGCATCCAAATATGTAAGTAAAATGAGAAGAATGCGTTAAATGAATCATTCGTAAGATTTGTCGCCACCTACTGGCGCAGCGATGTAACTTGCAGAAAAATTTCCAACACTGATGCACAGACTAACAGTCTGTCTGATAATATGTGAAACACTAATGAACATGAATGAAATATGTACTTTATTTTCTTAAGCAGCTTTCTAAAGTCCTTTTGTAGGCTAATGTGTGTAATGCATCCAAACGACTTGTATATTGGACATCAAATTTTCACTAATTAAATAAATCTAACATTTTTATTTTTTAATTTTAAAACACTCATAGAATGTGTACACATGTATACATATATTTCAGATTTTAAAAAAATATATCAAATAATTTTTTAATAAAATAAAATAACTATTATTATTAATAAAATGATTTTAAAAAGTAAAAAAATATATAACATTAAAAAGGATACATTTATACAGGATTTGTAATTTCATGATTTTATGGTTAACATTAAGTCAGCATAATTTTATTGCTGTAACATCTGTTGTAACTGCCAGTTATTACTTTAACAGAAGTATTACTTTAAGCATACTTTTCCATGTATGTTTATAGTTCAACCTCCATTAAGACATTTAAAAACATTGACAATGTGCAAATACATTGTATTTTCAGTGCCTTTAAAGTACCAAAAATGTATCTTAATCAGATGCATATGAACATGAAATATAAAGTGTAATTAGATCAGATGTAAAGTGACAAAATGTGTCAGTTTCAAGCATAACCTCTTAATTTAATCAGTGATTTTGTCATCAAGTATTTCCTGTTCTGAATATTATGGATTTATTGACTGAAGTAAACGGACTGAACACTGTGAATACATTCATTACTTAAAAAGATACTTGGTGAGAATGAAACAAGTCCGTTTCATGCATAAACAACCAACACACTTTGAAAAAGTAGATTAGCATCTTTATTGAAAAGAACTCAGGATTGTATGCCTTTGATTCATAGTGCAGAGAACAGAAGTGGATTTAAGTGTAGAAGCAGAACTTCGGTTCCTCTCACGAGTCACTGTGATCAGGGTAACAGAAGTATGCAGCAATAAGCAGGAGTACGTGTGTGACGGTGGTAGTTCGGTTAAGAGTGTGTGGTGTTTCGAACAGACATTAAAGGCATTAGCAGCTTGACAAAGGAGGTGAAACATTCAAGCTGTATGTCCTCTAACATGAATCTTCATCCGTCCCCGTCTGATGCTTTTTTACCCTTCCGGTTCCCCTGCAAAACACAAAATACAAAAAAATTAATTTAGATTCTGATGTCGTCATGTTTGTTTTTTTGCTGTAGGATATCATAAACTGAACCAATGTTATGCTCATTAAAAAAAAAAAAAAATTTGTATATATATATATATATATGCTGATTTAAATACAAATTCTCTGTCATTGTGATAGTCCCAGCAGGTTTGGATGTTCCGTACCTGATGTTTCGGTTGCTCTGACTGTAGGCCCTTCACTTTTGACCTCTCTTGCTCCAGAGCTGTGTGTAATTGTGTCACCTGGAAAGAGGAAACACATTTTGTTCCACAAAAATATCACAGCAACACAACACTATGATTGAGGCTAAAGCTGGTCTATCCAGTGAATGAGTGGATGTGCAGACACACCTGCGAGGACAGCTCTTCTTTAATGTTCTGGAGCTCATCCACCTGCAGCAGAATTTCAGCTTTGTCCTTCACTGAATATAAAGAAAGCTGAATAAATACCAAGAATGAATGCTAGGCTGCGGTATGTCAGGCTTGTATGATATTCTGCACTCACTCTCTCCCTGTTGAAGCATTTTAAGCAGTTGAGAGTTTCTGGCCTTCACTTCCTTATATCTTTCCTGAAAAAAGACAATTAGTAAACACAAACATGCTGAAATCTTAACTCTTAAATCACAGCGAGTTGTTAATTTAGCATTAGTCAAAAAGACATTGCAGCAGAACATCAAAACCATCACAACAGTTATTTATCACCTTAATAATCCAAAATGTATTTCCTTATGAGAAACACTAAAGACAAAAATCTAAATCAGCCTTAATATTGTAATTAGTATCGACACCTAATTGAAACTTTTCATGATTAGTTCATCACTGCAGTCGTAAACTTAATCACAGTTGTTCTTCAATTAATTGTGCAGCCCAGTGACAGTTAAAGGGGTCATATGATGCGATTAAAATTTTTCCTTTCTCTTTGGAGTGTTACAAGCTCTTGGTGCATAAAGAAGACACCACAACATCTCACCTGCCGATGTGAAATTGTCTTTTTCAGCTTTACAATGTCCTGGTCTTTTTTTTCCAGTTCATATTTTAACTGCTCAGTTCTCACGTCCTGGGGATTTTAAGAAAGAAAACAAGAATACGAGTTACGGTGTTACACTGAGCTTCATTCTACATTGCGGTACAACAGCCTTGTACACAACCTGCACATTTTTGAGTTTTTTTTCTTCTCTCTCTTGTATCTGGCTCAAGAAGAGTGAATCAATGAGTATACTGGCAGAAGTCTGACCTGCTCCTGCTCTGAGGAGGTGTTGACCTCGTGGCCGTCGCTGTTGCTGTACTGCTCTCTGTGCTTGTCACGCTGGACGATCCGGCTCACATCGTCCTCTAGCTGGTTGAAAAACTTGTCTTCACGCAGCTCTGGATTCACAGGCTTCGAAAGAAAAAGCAGGAAGATGAAACTGCAAATCATCAGCATGTGACACACTGTATGATGCTTTATCACAAGCAGAAATCATGAAGGGTTTTGAAAACCCACAAACGCGTTGATGCCAAGGGACCCCCTTCCTAAAATTTAAAGAAAACTATTTTTTCCATGTATAAATACATTTATACCAGTGTTGTTATTGCTAATTAAAGCTAAAACTATTACATCTACATTTATTCATTTAGCAGAGGCTTTTATGCAAAGCGACTTACAAATGAGGAATATATGATTTAACAAATGATTTATTATAAGAAATGCTAGCAATACAAAGTTTCAAAGTTAGAAGGAGGAGGAATAGTTATAGTAAAAGCATACAAGTCAGCAGGATTCCATAAAGTGCTCATAGAAAATAAAAATTCTAATTCTAACCTAAAATGCATTTAATAACTAAAATAAAGTTGAAATAAAATAAAAGAAATATTACATGAAAAACTTAAATGATGATAAGAAATGTTGCCTTGGCAAGTAAGTGAAATAAAGTAAGTTTAAAGGGATAGTTCACCCAAAAATGAAAATTACCCCATGATTTACTCATCCTGTGTGTTTATGACTTTCTTCTTTCAGACGAAAACAATCAGAGTTATATTAAATAATGTTCTGGCTCTTCCAAGCTGTATAATGGCAGTGAATGGGTGTTGAGAGTTTGAAGTCCAATAAACTGCATCCATCCATCTATCATAAAACTACTCCACACGGCTCTGGAGGTAGGGCTGGGTGACTTTTCAGATTTTATCGATGAATTCAAATTTAATGTTTTGCCACGGTTTTATTTTTTAATAAAGTAATCACTATTTTGAATAGAAATATTACCAAACATTAGAATTAGACACCGTCAATATGGCAATTATAACAGTAAAGAGAAAACAATGATCCAACCGCATGTCAGCGCATGTGATTATCCGCTCACGTAAGGTGCCATTCACACAGAATGCACTTTTGTGTTGACAAAGATGCGACGCGGGCAGTGGAATAAGAAAAAAATGCAGGACGATGGGAGTTGAGTTGATCTTCTTCTGACTTGAGCGCTGTGTTTTTAGAATTCTGTTTCATGTATGAGACGCTGCAAGAGATGCGAGTGCAACAGTCAAACGCATCCATGTTTACATAGAAAAAACAATGTTATTGTTACTTCATGTGTGGTGCACTTGGAATTTTCTTTAACTAGAGGATTAATAAAGAAAAAGTTACTTGAATCATGTTTTAGTTACATTTTCAAGTTAAAAATCGTAAAAACCGAGAATCGGTCAAATGTTCTGAAAAAAATTTAGAATTGATTTTTTTGCCATATCGCCTAGCCCTATGCGGAGGATTAATAAAGGCCTTCTGAAGCGAATCGATGCATTTGTGTACGAAAAATATCCATATTTAAAACTTGATAAACCATAATCTCTAGCTTCCGCTAACTGCGTGTTCACAAGAGAGTGGCGTTCCAGCGGATGATGTAGGACGTATGTGTAGCATAAGCTCCGGTGAGAAGTGACGAACACGAAAGCGCAGCGGAGAGAGCGAAACAAAACACCGGTCACGAATTAGAAGTACAAAAAGAGGATTTTAAAGAAAAACATTGGAGGATTTCGATATAAGCCAAGAGGAGACTGGTTTTCCTTTGCTGTGAACAAAACTACGCCCAAGTTACCTCATCCGCCGGATGCTACTCTCTCGTGAACGTGCGTACAACAGTTAGCGGAAGCTAGAGATTACGGTTTATCAAGTTTTAAATACGATTGTATTC